TTGAAAGAGGATTTGAGACACACAATAACTAGGCTTTATTTTTTTTCAATGCAATATGCAGTAAAATTATTGATCCCCTCAAATTAAATGAGTTGGAATAAGAAGCTTGTGTTATCTTATGTCAACTTGATATGCACTTTCCTCCTTCATTTTTTGACATTATGATATACTCGAGGGAGGTTAAAATATGTGGCCCTGTCTACTTATAATGAATGTACCCAGTTGAGAGACATATGAAAATATTGAAAGGGTATGTGAAAAATCCTTACCACCCTAAAGCATCTATTGTTCAAAAATATGTTGTTGAAGAAGTTATAAAAATTTTTTCTAATTATTTGTCTAATACAGAACCAACTGGGCTTCCTAAATCTCGTCAGGAGAGGAAGCAATTAGGTCATGGCACATATGGGGCATTAGTAAAGAGCATAAATCGTGATGAAGTGCAAGAAGTATATTTATATATCTTGAATAATATTGACAAAGTTTGAAGTTACATAGATACCCATAAAGAACTTCTAAGGGTCGAATGCAATCGGTTGAGAATGACTGAATAGAGGTTCTTGAAAGAGCAAAATAGGACTTTTGCAGATTAGTTCAAATAACAAGTCTTAAATGAGATAATGTTTCTGATATGATTAAATGGTTAGCAGAAGGTCCTAACATGGATGTGATATACTGGAATGCATATGATATTAATTGGTATTCATTTTATATAAGGTCTCTTGATGAAAAGAGTACTGTACAAAATAGTAAAGTTATGATAGTGGCTGAAGCTATGCACTTCTCAAGTAAAAAAGATAAGAATCCAAAAATCACATTCATACCTTATTTTAGGATTATTAAAGAGATTTGGGAGGTTGACTATACCAAATTTAGAGTGCTTGTTTTCAAATGCAAGTAGGTTGACATTAATGGTGTACAAGATGATAAGTTAGGATTTACATTGATTGATCTTAGAAGACTAACTTATGGGGAGGAGCCATTTATTATGATAGATCGAGCAAAACAAGTTTTTTATGTTATCGATCCGGTAGATAAAAGTTGATCAATAGTTCTCGAAGGAAAAAGGGTGATTGATAGTAATAATAAGAATGAAACAGGCTTCGATATCTCTGAAACTCTTACCTTCTCATCAGGACTACCCAATTTGAATGTCAATGAGATAGATGATGTACATGCCGCACTGTAGGTATTCAAGAATCGCTTTTGGTCTATAGTGAAAGTAGGAATTGAATCTCAGGGAAATATATCCGTATGTGGATATAACCCATGAGGAACTAGTCGAATATTGCCAACCTTAGAAAAAAGCCCTTATTCTCACGTTGTTGGGGAGGAGTATATATATCCCTCAAAATGCTGAAGACGAGGGTCCAACGTCTATGGGTTATCCAGAACTTAGAGTTAATAGATGTGGAAAAACAACTACTTCATAGCTCGGTTTGATGAAAGGGATATGGGAGAATATCTCTATATGAATTTAATTTTTAAATTAATGTTAGTTTTCTAATTTAGAATTATGCTTTATTCATAATTCTTTGTGTTTTATTTATTTTGTGTTATTTGAATTATGCTTTCTTTACAATTCTTTGTGTTTTATTTTTAGAAACATGGATAAAAATTAAAGTGGACCTACAAATGGTGTTCCGAGCCAGTCATCTATAAAGGTTACTCAGAGCCAACTGACTGCAGAGGTTACTCAAAGCCAGCCGACTGCAAAGGTTGCTCAAAGCGGTGATAGTGATCCTAGTCAAAGCCAGTTAGTGAGGAGGGGTAGGCAAGGAACACAATTGAGAGAGCTGACTTTGAGTAGAACCACTAACCACAGGTTACCAATTTAGTTCGATCAACAGTGGAAACCATAAGGCCAAAGAAGGCCAAGTTTGTCAGCTGCCTTGGACTCCTGTCACGAAACAAGCCCAATATCTTACATAAAGATTGGCTTGATGTGCCAAAACATGTGAAGGAACAAATTTAGGAAAGCATTCAAGTATGTAAAACATTTATAATTTTTATATGTAAAATACTAACTATTATTAATTGCAGCTCACCTATGATGTTTCGAATGATTAAGCATGTTGAAGACAGTTGATAAAATATTATGGGGAACATTAGAGAGGTTTCAAGACTAACCTTACAAGGAAATTTGTCCATGTCGAGTTGAAAGAAGGTCAGCTTCATCCTAATCCTCTCAAGACATATTAGTTTCTAGATGAACAAGCTTAGCAAGAATTCTATAAGATTTAGACTTCTAAAAAAGCTATGGTTAGTCAATTTCTAATCGATTTAATTGTAGTAATTTAATTTAACTAATTATATTAATTTTTTAATTTTTTATTAACAAGAAAAAGGATAAAGAAGTTGCTTGGAGAAATGAATGCCCCCACACGATGTCTCGTGAGGGTTATGATCACGTTGACAATATTTTGATGGATGAGAAGTTGAAGAACAGAGAAGAAGATGCTAAATTTGATCCTTTTATTCTCTTATCCCTACCATCGCCTATCTCTCATGAGGATAAATGGAGATATGGTCATCAACACAAGAAGGGAGGGTATATAACCGAGAAGGCACGTTGTCGAAAGGATTGTAAATAACATTTATTTCTTTAATTTTTTTATTCAATGACCAATATAGAATGTTATGATATTTGTTTTGTTTGTTATAGGAGGCTCCTAAGGAACAACAATCTCAAGAATCTTTCATTCTAGAGGGTAGAAATGAAATTTTAGTGGTTGCTACCGGTAAGCCAGAGCATCCGAGACGCGTTAAAGGTGTTGAATTCGGCATGGGAATCAGAGATTACTTTGGAGCACATGCATGCTCTAGTGGATTGAGTGTTGTTACGAGAGAAAAGCTAGAAAATGTAATAACAAATGTAAGGCAACAAACATGAAAGGAGGCTGAAGCTTTATTTGAAGCTCACTTGGAAGATCAGCTTCCAAAAATGAAAGAGGAAATGATGACCTCTATATCCTTACGACAAAAGATGATTGCCAATGCACCTCATACACAGTCTCTTGGATTTCACAGCACGAAAGAGAGTAATGTTCTTGGGTACATGTTAAAGGATCCTTCAGTGAGAAACATAGGTGAACCGTGTGAGCTATATCTAAAAGATCCTGATAGACGCTTGGTTGCTCTTGGCAGTGTTCATAGTTTGGGACAAACTGTCCAACATAAGCAAATGCGACAAGATAAAGTCAGAGTGGTGGTAGAAGATGTAAAAGTAGTGGATGGCTCGTCCCATTCCTTACTAATGAGGTCAAGACTGCATCCAAAGCTGTTGGTACTTTTATTGTGTGGCCTAAGAGACTTGTGAGTATTGTTCAAGCCAAGGTATGTTTTCTTAAATATTTCATACATTTTATTAAATATTTATTTTTTAATTAGCTATCTCTGATCTTTTCAGCTTCCCTTGCCAAATAATCCCCTGCCTAAACTTCCACAACCCCATTCACCGCAGTTGACTCTTCTCCAACAATAATTTTATTAGCTTACGACAAATCATTTCAAGAAAAAAAATTTTTAAGGGAAAAGGATGTTGTGGGTGTGGATAGTCCAATGATGATTAAATAGGAAGATTTGAATCGACTTCTCTCGAAAAGTCAGCTTAGCACAACATCAATTGAGCTTTTTATCTTGTAAGTATGTTTTACTTAAATACAATTAACTTATCAATATTGATCAACTAACATAATTGCATTATCGCAGGTACCTCCATCATCTGTGCATTACATCGGGCAAATGTGATCATTTTGGATTTCTTTGCCCTCATTACATGACAAAGAAAGGGAATACTCTTGAAATAAGATCCCGATACCTCCAATAATGAATATGTGAAGTTAAAAAGGATGTTTTCATGGCTCCATATGTGCATTTGTAAGGATCAATTTACAATTGATAGTTTTTTGTTAAATGTAGATTTCTTTTGATATCTCACTATATTTTGTAAGGACCACTAGCAATTGATTGTTCTTTCATTAAAGAGTAACACAATCCTCTTCTTATGCTCCCTTCATTACAAACCAAACAAGAACATAAAAAAAACGATAGACTCGTAAGTGTACTTGTAAAAAAACTATTAATTTTTACGGATATATTAGTTACAAATCTCGTGAGCTAAAGAATCCTACATGAATTGAGCCAAAGAAAAATTAAAACTAACACTTTATTAACATATTCAATTGTTAATATTTATTACCGATTTCCAATTGTTTATATATATATATATATATATATGTTTTTATATAGAGTCGCAGGCAACCACTGAAGATTAGTTTGTGTGGCGTATATGTAATGAGACACATGCTCAATATCATCATATTGGGAATGACTGAATTTACAAATGAGATAACTATATTTTTTAAAAGCTAATTTTATTGTTACTTGAATTGATTGGTTAATGTGTAATTGCAATTTTATACTTTAATATAAATGTTTGATATTGCAAATTCATTTTTTGAGGAGACGACATTCTCACACGTTGGACACAATATTTTATGGATGGTAAGTGGGGTTTAGATAGTTTTTTAAAAAATTATATAAGATAATTTGAGTTTTGTGTAATTTCTATAGAATTGTATTGAAATTTGGATTATTTATATGTACTTGAATCGGAAGGGTGGCAATAAATCGTATAAAATATTTGCATTTGTAAGAATTGGAAAAACAACTAAAAACAGAATAATTTTTTTTAAACCACTTTTAAGATAGGTTTATGCCATAACTGATGTTAAAAGTCCTATTTTTTTAAAAAAAAAACTTCAACAAGAAAGTTTCAACAATGGGCCTATGTCTGCTATTGAAAGTTTATTTTTTAACAGCGGTTATACAATCGCTGTTGAAAGTTACTTACATTTAACATCCCCTAAAACAACAGTGGACATAGAATCGCTGTTAAAAGTATTTTTTACCCACTATTAAAAGCTTATCTTGTAATAATGACCCATGAATCAGCATATATACAAGGCTAGCATGGATCAACTTGTAGAGCCAGAGAATTGTGCACCAGCAAAATCAAGGATTTGCACATCCATGGAATCAGTGACTTAGGCTCCCCAAAAGCTAGTGATATGAGAATCAGAACACTTAGAGATCCATTCAAAGATTAACACACATGGAGAATCAAATCAGGAAGATTCCACACGCTTATGGAGCGATGGATCCAGCCAGCACAAAACCACACCCTTGTGGAGCCAGAGCAAAAGCATACACTTGTAGAGCTAGTGTGGAACCATGTCCCCGCTGACCTGAAGCAAAACCATGTGCTTGCAAAGCCACAACGGAACCGCATCCTTCTGGTTATGTCGCAAACGAGATCAAAAGATAATAATAAGAAGAATGATATGGGATCTTTAGGTTTGGAATGTGATGATGCAGGTTGATTCCATCACAATCCAGGGATGAGAGGGAGGAAGAATTCCAGCCCATATAAAACCATCCTCACCATAAGCATAGTAAAAGCTGCTGAATTTGCAAAATTTTGCATTTAAAATTAGATAAATATGCTCAAAAATAGTCTAAAGAAGAGATCAAAACTTTACCACAAACAGCAAAAAATTTCACAAAATCTTACCTGCATCCAAATTCAAGGCACTCATACATTGAAACCAAAGCTTTCTCTTGAGCTTGGAGCCCTCATCTTGATGATATACAACATTTTTTGCCATTAACTCTATGCTACTTTATGTCTCTTAATTTAAGTATATACAACGCTACCTTCTTATTCTATATTTTGCTACATGCTTACAATGGTGCCTTCTTTCCTCATTTCTATATGATAAACAACAACACAGACCATGCTAAGATGAGTATATGATGGTGACAGGAGAAGAAATAGAAACAGATCAGAACATAGGAAGGTTTCAATGAGTGCTTTTGTAGGAAAAAAAAAAAACAATCATGAATGAGAAAAATATTAAAAGTATGCATTTCAATTCCTTAATTAAAAACAAGCAAGTCATTTAGATACGTTACGCTGTGAGTTTGTGCCCTATTTCTCATTTGTTTCTTTCAGTCTCTTTGCCTTGACCACCAAACAAAACTTTCCACCATACTAGGATAACTTTAGGCTTGTTTGACCTCCCAGAATAATAACTTTAGGCTTGTATATGTTTTTTTGTTTCGATATTCTTAAAACAATTTTGTAAAATAGTTTTTAGAACAAGTTTTGGAAATAGAAAATAAAAAAAATCTTTTTGAATCATTATTTTGAAAAACATATTTAAAGTTGTGAAATAAAGAGTGAAAATAAAATTTATTTTGTTATCATCATTGTCATTAATGAAAACATATCTTTTGCCTTTTCTCTAGTTTTGCATAACAAAAAATAACACACGTTTTGGATTTCTAGTTTTTCGAAACAACTTGTTTTTTTTCAAAATACATAACAAGAAATTCATTTTCGAACAAGTGTTTTTGATTTTCTTTTTTTTTTTCAAAACAAAAAATTGTTATGAAAACTGTAATCAAGCACGCCCTTTGTCACTTAGAAGGTGAATCATAAGCCACCACCTATCTAGTCTTTCCCTTCACCATTGGCATCGAAGAAGCTTTGCAAGTTGGAATAATTCTCTTGACATATCTACCATCTTCTCAACCACTTCCTCCAACCTCCATGGTTCATGACCGCAAAAATAGTAGAAATTATCACTGATAATATCACAACAAATTTATTATATTAAAGTAATAATTCGTGTATAATATGAGTTTAATTAGAACAATCCGCATCTCCTATTAATAAAATTAAAATAGATGTATATAGTTCTACTTTCCCAACACTTAGAAGAGAAGAAGAGAAAGAAAGTATGGGCATCACCCAAGCACTGAAATATAATGCAAAGGACCAAAGATGAGGATACTGCAAAGAAACATAGTGAAGGGATGAGCAATGAAGATCACATAGGGAAAATGGAGTATGCTCATCATGTGTAAAAGTAATTACAAATATGTATAGAAGTGAGAGGCATAGAAGCTATATTAAGAAAAGATGCTTAATTGGAAAAAAGGGTTTGGATGATTATTGTGGAACTTCCCTATCTAATGATTCCTTTCCCTCTGTAACTCAATTCTTCCTCTCCCAGAGTTGTATCAATCCCTTCTTTGCTTTTTCTTCCTCTCTTTTGCTCTTAATCTCATTGCCAATGTAATTCTAGAAAAGAACCTTTTGTCACTGCCAAGATGCCTCCAAAATTGGTTAGCCATCACTTGGAAATCCTCCCCTGTTTCGGAACTCCAAGAGAAAATGGCAAAAGAGGCTTTTGAAATAAGACCATTTAGCTGTAAAAATCAAAAAAGGAAATGGTAGGTTGTTTGAGATTGAATGAAAAAAAAAAAAGGAGAGAAATGGACAAGAGGATTGTTGATTGGAATCCTTACTTGATGCAACCACAGTGAACGAAGTGAGGAAAAAAGGATCTTGACTGCTCCGCCCAACGAACATAGCGCTAGAATTTCACCATTATAGTACTTCAGTGGTGAGGGAGATGCTCCCCTCCCCTCGTTTAGTTAAAAAGTAATTCTTCCCTTTTCTTCATATTACTCCCTCCCAAATTAAAGGTTTTTTTAGAAAGTAAGCTATTTTTTTTTTACTATTTTACTCTTATTTAATTTTTAATATTTTAAGGGTATCTATAACTAAAAATTTTTTCTTCATATCAAATTGTGCTTCACTTCCAAATTTTGAATGACCTCATTGAATTTTTTTTAAAAAAAGTTCCATTCTATCATATTTTATTATATATTTAGTTATTTATTTTTTTATAAAAACTTGTTATTATTATAATTATTAGTTTAATTTTTTTTCACATATTGACAATATGATAGGATGAGAGTGAATTTTTAAAAAATCATGTAGTTTAAATTGAGGTGTAAAATTATTTTCTACAAAAAAAAATTTTAAAAATTTTCAACTAATATATAGAGATATAATAGTAAATTAGTTATTATCTTTCCTCCCTTTCTCTTCTAAACCAAATAAAGAATCGTTAAAAATTCCTCCCCTTCTTTTCCCTCCAACAAAGCCAAATAAATTAACCTCTCTTCCTTTCAAACCAAACACATCCTTAATATATATATACATGTTCTTGAAGATTTGGACAATTGCTGTGGGCCTAATGAAAGTGGACGCAGATCACAAAGGATGGTAGGTCGGTTTAGAGCATTGACTTCATGGCAGCAACGACATTGGTGGTTGCAACGGCCATTGCAAAGCATCCCATTTTGAGTGAAAAGAAAGTCAAGGGAGACAGATCTGATTTCATTTCGAAATTTGAAATTAGAAATCAAAAGAGAGAATGGGGGAGAGATAGAGTCGAGATTGGACGTAGAATGCACTCACCAACATTCTATATAGGGAATCTTTTTTTTTTTTTCCTGAAATAAAAATTTAATTAATACCATCAACTTGCCAAAAACCATGTCATTTAAATAATCAAAAAAGAAAGAAAAGAAAGCTAAGTTCATAAATCAATGACAGAGTAATATTAACATAAGCCTAAAGTTCGTCAATCAATCAACGAGAGCCAATTTCTGGTCAATCAGCTGCGTTCTGCAAGATTTGTATGATAAGGTTGATTACAAAAACATACAGTACCATGAGATCACAGCATATACATAATACATCAGAATACAAGTTGTACAATTATTGATAGTCCACCAACTTTTTTTGGCTAGAAGTACTACCCAATTAACATTTGCAACAATGACTCAGGTAACTACTACAGTTTTAGGCTTGGCTGGCAGTTCCCTCGGCGTCCCAAAAGGCGCTCTTCTTCCCGGTTTTGGATACAGTCTGCAGAACCGTATCTGGCGGTACATTTCCTTTGACAGTCACCTTCTGTTCCTTCAAATCAATGTCATATGTTTCCACACCTGTAAATAACAACACTCCTCATTATCAAACAAAATTGAAGGAGGAAGCTGGGGAGGATATTGCTCTTATCACGCTCTTTCGCAAAGATGCAGCAACAAACTCATATTTAAACTTGTGTGAACTTTCTCTGTGTTGTTGTTTTAATATATATATATATATATATATATAACGATTTTAAGGGGAATCAGAGGTAGAATGAATTGAGATCGTTTAGGATTTAGAAGTTTCTTGATGAAGATAAGGAGTTCAATAGCAGAATAAGAAAAGGGGAAGCAGAGAAATTCGAATCCCTTGTCTTACTTTTGTGAATATAGAGAGTGCATTTAAAAAAGAAATAGAGGGAAAAAGTAGTGCAAAAGCATAATTATAAATGTACAATCTAATCTATATGCAACCACATTTGCTTGTCTTCTCTCACTAAATGCAAAGATGCATGAATAGAGAGAATTTAATTTGGAAGCAAGGGTATTTTCAACACCTCAAAGTCATAAGATAGTTGATTGTGTCACCATTGATGGACCAAATGAATCGAAGATAGGACTGTATGAGATTAGTAGGCATACAGAAATAAGACAAACATATGCAGACATTTACATGCTATAAATACAATTTTCAAAAAATCACTTTCAAGTCCAAGCACAAGCAGATTTTATGATAGCAAAGGAAGATTTAGAACTGAAAAAAACACTACGTGCACTTAAACCAAAATTATTCAGATAATTGCGAATGAAAACAGAAAGTGTATGACGATTACTGAAAATTGCAGTAGGAACAGCACCAATTATTGTGGCCAGAGTAAGACATTCCTTCAGCAAATTTCTAAACAAAGTTGATATTAGAATCCGATAGCAGAAAGCCAAATACACTATTCCCTTTGGTTTCTATTATAAGGCACCTTTTAGAGGTGTTCTTTGCTGCTTAATATAAGGCACAAAAAGGATTATTTATTACAGCTTTCCAATTTTACTTCTCTTGTAAATTTATTTGTATGATTCATCGTATACTGTGTACCTCTTTTTTTTCTATTTTTAATAGGGGTAAAGTTAAAAAAAATTTAATTTTAAGACATATTTAATGAGTTAATTGTCATTCCTTTTCCAGTAAAGTAATTGAAAGTGCTTTAAAACAAGGATAGGAGGGAATATGCGAGAGGAAGTTAACCCTCGATGATAACGTGTCCAAGAAGAGAAGATAAATAAATTGAATACAATCATCATAGTCTACCTTCCAGTTTTCCCAAAACTCTTTTCACTGCCCCAACACATCCTTCACAAGACATAGCAACTTTGAGGACTGTGGTCTGCATCCATATGGAGAAGTTTTTCAGGTTAAGAGGCATAAAAGGAGAAAATGATCATAGAAACCCCTTATCTCACAATACAGTACATTCAGACAGAATTTTAAATGAAATAAATGTGCTGGAACAAATTAAAGAAAGAAAGAATCAGAAGGGTCATGGGACAAGATATTTCTTCTAGGCCAAGAAGGACAAGAGATTAACCAACCAACATTTAACATGATTTAAAAAAAAAAAAAAAAGAACAGTCGCTTCATCCTTCATTATAACTAATTCAAAGGCCAGCATCTAGTGGAAGTGTAGCTATGAGAAACAGACCAGGCTAAGAACTCAAAGGTCCACATACACCCCAGGAACTACCATCATGAATTCATATTCAAAGGTTATATTTATCAACTAAAAGCTTAGACATATTAAACAAGGAACGCAATCGATCTGAACAGCTAACTAGGAAGAATAGTAAGAAAATCCTAATCGAAAGGGGGAGTGCCGAGTTTCCTTCGAAAACGATATCTTCTTGGCAAACAGATTTTTAAGGGGGGAAAAACATCCAGTTCAGCATTGAAATATTAAACCATGAACACAATCGATCAAAAGCGCAAGGTAAAAAATAAATAAATAAATAAAATATGCATCCAAAAAGGAATGACCCAGAACTGCAACAGTCAGATGCAAAGTATTTGACCCAGAAAATTTGCGAATAAAGGTAAGAAATGGAAGGCACAATTTGAGACGAAGACAAATAATTGGGTCGGGTTCGGGCAAATCACCTGAGACATGACTATCTTTCTCTGAAGAGGCTGAACAAGAAAAGATTTGAACAAAAGCAATGAGATTATGATGTTTCGATGGTGTTCAGAGGTGGAATTCGGAGTCGAATTTATACACCAAAGGCACAAAGTTCAACGAAAAGCTTACGGCAGCGTTTCGCAATCAAAAGAATGTGGACACCGATCGTGAGGTCAGGTTTGGTGGCCGACGTTGATCACCCGCCGGCTCTAACCGTCATTGCAGACGTGGCTTCATCATTTTTTTTTTTCCCGAAGTCATTTGCAGAGCATTACAACTTTCTCTCAAAAAAAAAAAAAAGGTTAATTTAGATAGTATTTTAAATTTGTATTATTATTTTAAAATTAATGAGACTCTATTCTCTTGCGAATATTTTTCTACCAAATTGATTAAGATAATCTTTTGTTAAGAAATGATAATATATTATTGGGTAAATATAACTTTTGATATATGTACTTTACTTATATTTTACTTTTGATCCCTATATTTTTTTTAATGTTTTATATTCTTACACTTTTATTTTTTATTGTTTTAAATCTTTTCAAGGTTCCTATATTTTTTTCATAAAGGAACCAAAAATAATCAAAAATAAAAGTATAGGGACATAAAATATTAAAAAAATATAAGGATCAAAAGTAAAATGCGAGTAAAGTACAAGGATTAAAAATTATGTTTACCCTATATTATTCATTTTAAAAATGAATTCATAAAAAGTAGTTAAAAAATTTCGGACAAAACGTTTCTATAAAAAGATCTAGAGTTTAGATAGAAATAATTAAACTAAAAATATGGCATTTATTTATAATCATAGTAAATAATAATATAATCAACAAGTGTCTCTTCCATAGTAAACAAGCTAAAGGTGCAAATTTGATCATGTATTATTTTTCAAAAAACATCCATAGCTTTATATCAAACAATGCGAAATAAATCAAAAACTTTTAAAAATGAAGTATCTAGTAGCCTTCTGTTATTTTCAGCAAACAAACATTATATGAAGCCCACAATTACATGTGGCACTCCACATTAGCATATATAAAGGTGCAAATTTAACTACAAACTATTTTTTGAGAAACATTGTATAGTCTCTATTATAAAAAACAAATCATTTAATATCATCCCATCAATTTTGATCAAACACCATTTATTTTCAAACTTATGAGATCTATGTGTCAATCTTTTTAATCTTTTTACCTTCATTCTCAATCTTAGCTCAAGAAGAGGTTTAAAGAGTTTTTATTTGAAAACATTCATAAAAACGACACCAACAAAGTAAAAAAAATAATTCGCGACTAAATTAAGCTAGAATCAAGCTTTAGATAAGAACTCTTCGAAACTCTTTTTCTCAAACTAATACTGAGAATGAAGGCAAGAAGATTGGAGAGATTGAAACTTTGTAGACCTCATAAATATAAAAATAAACAGTGTTTAGTCAAAATTGAGGAGAATGTGTTGGATGGTTCTTTTTTTTTATAATAAAAGCTATCTAATACCCCTCGAAAAATAGTTTTAAGTCTAAATTTGTAAATTTACACATGTTGACATAAAGTGTCATATGTCATTATAAACCTCACATGACGTCTGTCAGTTGAAAATAATGGCGAGCTACTAGATGCTCTATTTTTTAAAGTTTGTAATTTATTTTACATTACTTGACAATTTAGGCCACCAGATGTTTCTCAAAAAATAATACATAATTAAATTTATACCTTTATCCTAGTAAATAATAAGGGTAAGCTTTTGCCCCAACTTTTTCTCTCTATTATCTCTTAACTGCAAATCTAAATCAATTAAATTAAATGTGTACTTTTAAAAAATATATCAAATCTAAATCATTAAATTCAATTTAGTGGTCTAGATTTGCAGTGTTCCCTCTTTTGCTTTCCTTTGCAGAGAAGGAAAGCCAAATACTAAATAATACTACTTTCATCTTGATTTATAAAACATTTTTAGATAAAGCCACATATACCAATAAAATATATTAAATACACTTTACAATTATATTTTATCAAAAAAAATATAAACTTTTAAAATTATCTTTCATTTGATACTCTATTTATAAAATAATATTAAAGAGAGAATATAATGAGAAAGATAATATTTACAAAATTTTATTAATAAAATTTTATTTTTATCAAAATATCTTATATTTAGAAAGTTGAACTTCTTGCAAAAATATCTTATAAATTGGGACACCAAGACTAGTTTAAAATCATATGGTAAAGCAATTTGGGGAAAAAAAAAAAAACAATGACTATAAAAAGATCTATATATTCAAAACCAGTCATAACACTATGGAGTTTTGAATTTATTCTGTTCGGCCTAAACACTAATATTGTCAAATTTTGCCCATTTTTAAACAAATTTTAATTTTTACTTTAAAAACAATCACGTGAACAATATTCTACCTGTTTTTAAAAAGGGGAATTAGAAATATTTGGGAAGGAGTCAAATGCTCTAGAATCAAAAGAAAAGGCCAAGAGTAAAAGTCAGATTAAAGGATCAACTCAGGGGACTGCATTCAAAACAAGAACACAGGGATTAAATTTCAAAAAGAAAAGAGAACCAAAAACAGTTTTGCAAATGGTCCTTATCGAGTCGCCTGCATAGGAATTTAAGACATGTTTGTTTAAGATTAACAAAAAAGTGATCTTTATTAAGTTACACGTTAAAGTATATTTTAATCCTCTAATTTTATATAAAATTTTAATTTAATCTTTTGATTTTATAAAATATTTTTTTAATCTTTTGACTTTAACATCGTTAATTAGTTTTAAATGACTATTTTTATGTTAATTATTATTATTATTTTTAAAAAAATTAAACTTAATATATCAACATTTAAAACTATTTTATGAATGTTTAAAAATGTAATATAATTTTTTTTATAATGAACTTAACGTTATTAAAATTAAAGAGTTAAAAGACATTTCATAAAATTAAAGAATCAAAATAAAATTTTATATAAAGTTAAAGAACTTGTTAAATATTTTAGCCTAGGTAATGTAAAGAAGTTTTTTGAACATGGGGTTGTTAAAAGAAAGTTTTTTATTTTCAATTTATTTTAATATGTGATTCTGATTAGTTTATCAAAATAAGGTGAACATAAATTTTCTTTCAACCACCTTTCATATTTAGTTCAAAATTCTCCCAATAACTTCCTTATATAGCTTAGTGCTTTGTTTGGTTTTGTATTAAGGGAGCTCAAATCTTAATTAGTAACCTCAAAAGCTGGTTGAACCGATCCTTTCTTGTTTTGATTAACGTTACAGCCCAACAAGCGTCTAATCTATTCCTCCCACTCCAAGCAACATTTTCACGCTTCGATGTTACATTTTTCCGCGTTCATCCTCAAATTATTTGAGCTCTGAAGAAAAAGTCTTGAATGCGTTGTCTCAAGTGTGACCCAGTTTCTTTTATCTCTCTCTCTCTCTCTCTCTATATATATATATATATATATATAAGAAATATTAATTTGCAACCAAAATTTAGAGACCCTAAGCACTTTTGCATAAAAAATTCAATAATATGATGATCTTTTCCACAAAAAAGCCTCAATCAAAATTGAACCCAAACAAATATAAGATCACCATTTTAAAAACTGGAATTATTAAACCCATCCAGGAAAAATAAGAAAATAGAATATTAATAATTTAAGCTCAAAATTTCCAAATTTCATTTAAAATTTTTTTGTTTTCTAAAATTATCTAATAATCCAAATATTACCTACAGGCCAAAAAAAAAATCCAAATATTACCTCAGAAATTCAAATGAACTCAAAATTATTCTTAAAATATAAGATAAAGGTACATTTTTGTCTCTGAAGTATTTTCTGAGAAACAGTCAGCAACCCTCACATTTTTATTAGAGCAATTTTGCCTTTAAAGTTATCAAAATGGAATGTCAACATTGAAATTTTAACAGAAAGGGCAAAAGTGTTTTGTTTTGATAACTCTAAAGGAAAAATTGTTTTGGGAGCTCTTCAAAAAATATTTTAAAAGCAAAACTGCACCTCAGCCTAAAATATATGAATAAGGTGAGATAAAATCTCAAAAAAAGAAGTCATGAGTTATCAAGAACTCTATTTAAGTATACCTGCTGGAGCACTTGGGTTTCGAGATGCATGTTAGCTTTTCGAAATTGAAAGGCGTAAATGCACGCTTGTATGATTTCTCGTCAAGACTCGAGGTTTCAAAAAAATTGAAGTGCAATTAGAAGCAATTAATCTGTTACAAGGATGATTCTTTGCCAACATCGGCTTGATTTGAAGGGAGGAAAAAGTGAAAAGAAAAGGGGAAGGAGAGAAAATAAAAAAAAATTGTAAAAAAAATAAATTATTATGTCTTGATCATTGACCTGTTTATGTAAAATTAAAAAAATAAGTAATTTTTAGATAATTTATAAATTTTATAAAAAGAGATTTATTTTATATAGATTTAATAAAAAATGCATTTTTATATTTTTTTATAATAATAAAAAAGTATTATTAGTTAGTTCTTTAAAATTTTATAATATCTTCCTTAATTTTTGTTTTATAAAAATAATTTATTATTATATTATTTTAAAATTTTATAATATATTTGTGTATTTTGCCCCTTCAAAACACTTTCTCTTATGTATTGAATTAAATTATTTTCAAAAATTACTCAAAATATTTTCTTAAAATAATCAGAAATTTGATTTTTTTTAATTCTGATTATTTTTAAAAATTTAAACAAATATAGCGGGCATGTTTATTTTAGCTAATTTCTTAAAAAAATCACTTATTTTCTTTTAAAAATATATTTTATGAGTTTTTATGATATATGTTTAAATTTTTAAAAATAATCCAAAACTGAAAAAAAGTAGATTTCTAATTATTTTAAGAAACTACTTTGAGTAACTTCCAAAAATAATCTAATGCGGTAGATGAGAGAGAGTGTTTTAAATAGGTGGGATATATGAAAATATTATAAAATTTTAAAATAATATAATAATAAATTATTTTTATAAAATAAAAATCAAAGAAGATATTATAAAATTTAAAAATAACTAACTACTAATCACTTCTCTATTATTCTAACCAAACATAAAATAATGTCTTTTTTTATAAAATATCTATAAAATAAATCTTTTTTTATAAAATCTTTAAACTACCTAAAAATCACTTATTTTTAATCTTAAACAAACAGATCCAATAAAAACACTCAAAATAGATTTCTTTTTTCAAAAATTAAGTAATTTTTTCATGAAATAAATTAAAACAAATGGGCCATAATTTTCATGTGATCATAATATAATTTTCAACTTTCAATCAAACAAAATTACTGTTGGGCAAAAATATATCACCAAGAAATTCTTGTACTCCACACGAGAAAAGAATTAATTTAGATGAAAATTTTTAGGTATAGGAAACTTGAATTTGTATTTTATTTCAAATCATGCTTTATGTGTCGGGTGAATCATATCACTTTACATAAGATAGCATGAAATATATCATATCAATAAAATAATAGTACAGAATAAACAGTGAACTTGGGAGATTTTCAAAAGTTTGGATACTGCACCCTAATTTCAATAGCAATTAAAGCAACTGGTAGTTGCATCAAATTTAAATGGGTTGAATTGTAAAAATATTCAGAATTTTTTTTTAAGAACTTTTTTTGATATCCTTAAATCAACATTGATATATAAATAGCCATTAAATTTATAAAAGAGATCAACACTCTCCAATCCTTCGCTATCCTCACAATTTAACAGTGAACACTAGATCATTTTAATAAATTGGGAAAGGTTGATCTATTTTATAAAATTAAAAAATACCTATATACCATAAGGGATAAAAAAAATTTGGAAAAATAATTCTGAATATTTTTACACCTTAACCCGATTTGTATTTTTAAAATATGAATTTATACTTTTAGAATATCGGTACACTTGTATCTCTTGACCCTAACATGAATAAGAATGTTATGAAAGCAACATAACTACTTAGTAAAAGCTGCAAAAATATACAATGGACAGCTTAGAAAGCAACCTCTTAACATGCCAAGAAAACTTAGTACAAACTTGTCCATTCTCGTATCTCAAATTCCACATCAATAAGATCAACCAAATACACGAGTCTATTAACATAATCTCAGCACAACTTACCATATTTATATCGTTCTAAACAAAACCAAAAGTCAGCTAGAAGGCTATAATCATGTCTTTTGCGTGATACAAGAGATCATCACGCTTAAATTAGATCAAACCAGAAGGCCGGTGGTTAAAATCTAAATGGTTAAATGAAGACTATAAAAGCCAAAGACTTCAAAAAGTGCAGATTTCAAGGCTTCAGCATGGTGGGAAAGTGACATCTAATAACGTTGTAGTCAAAAGTTGAACTTGTTTATATAGTTCACAGATTCATCACATTCAAAATGAACCGTAATATTGGGGGGAAACAAAAACACATAGGAGGGAAGATTAAAAAAAAATGACTAGCCTGCTACTACTCAAAATAGATGTTAACAAATCAAGACAGAGCATCACAATGAACATAATACAACAACAACAACAATAAGCCTTTATTTCATTAGGTGGAGTCAGCTACATGAATTGTAAGACGCCATTGTATTATATTTTTAATAATATCACAATGAACAAAAAGGAAACAAATTACCTTGATAAATACTTTTATCATTTCTCAACAAACCTTTAGTCAAAATAAATAAATTTAGTGTAAAGTTATCTATTATAATGACCTTGATGAACACGCAGACATTCTCAAGAAATGTTACTAATCATACAGTCATTTGGCATAAGAATGAGATTAATTTATAGATTCCTTAACCTTCAGCAGTGCTAAAAGGAGGATTTGCCGAAACAAATTTATATGTACAAAAAAAAAAATAGAACATTAAAATATAAAGAACTACAATACATGCAAATGAGCATGCAATACAAGGAAGAACCGAATTCAGCGAAGGTGACAGAAAACCCAAAGCACAGACAGACAGCAGCGATGCCTTTGGAGTTACAGAAGCGGACTGCAACGAGGAACCCATAAAAGACAGCGGCAAATTTAGGAAACCAAAAGTAGATGTGGTTAAAATCCCACGATCATAAGAGACCCATGACGAGAGAAGCTCTGCAACTTGACTGAACTGCTGTTTTGAATCTTCCTGAGCAACTCGATTCATATCCTCTACAAGGTGCAAAGGCTGAGTGATGGTGATAACCCCTCTGTTTGATGCAGACAACGTTGGGCTACCTTGGGTTTCCTTGGAATTACCTTGCTCGACTTCAAGAACACACTGGAGCCCCTTTGCGACGTTAGCATCATGCACCAAGGGTTGTTGAAACTTGTCACACATTTCTTGGGGTGTGACTGAACAAGACCCATTATCTTTTTGAGAAACAGAGGTTTCTTGCTCATTTTTGAACTCTGCTGGCCTCGCTGCGGAGATGACAGAACCAAACCCACCTTCTTCAATATTCTTGGCCTCGTCCTGTTGTCCAATTGACTGGCACTCAACCTGCCGCGATAGGAAGAGCTCTTGTCCTCATGCAAGACTTTTGGCATCTTTCAGGGTGATGGGTTTGAAAGGCCCTACCCCTTCTGCTATTTCTTCTTGAAGGCCAGCCAAATACATATCAATCAAATTGCCTTCAGAAAACATATAGTTGCTGGTGATGGTGTCGAAGGCAAAATTGTAATGGACAGCACAGCCTTGCTACTTGACCAACTCCAGAATTCTTGGTGGCGAAACATCCTCTCCATCTTCTCCAACTAACCATATGTATTGCGTTAATTGTCTTAACAACTGGAAGAGTGCTTCTTGAATATCATCCGCCACTAGCCCCATTGGTGTCAAATACTTGCTTAAGTGTACTTTCTAATACTTGCCCCCTTTGATCAGTACGCCTTGAGATGCACCTATTCAAGTACCACCCATAACAGCAGCTGGTGTGGCAAGACCTAGAGCACAAGGGCAAGCTATGACCATGTCAGATATATCAAAATGTAAAGCAAGCTCAAAACTGTCCATGGAAGATGGCATACAAGACTTTGCGTAAGCATGAAACTTCCCAGCCAAAAACCATGCAAGAAAAGTTGAAAATGGAGATTATAATGACCTCAACAAGAAATCCTCCAAGGGAAGTCATCATCAAATATATAAAGAGATGTCATGACCATGACAGATATGCCAAACTGTAAAGCAAGCTCAAAACTGTCCATTGAAGATGGTATAACGTGCAATGAATGCATTATTAATCTTCATAGCCCAACTCTCATATTTGTATACTGTAACTGAAGGAGAAATCTGAATATGTTTCCTTACAATTACATAATCACACTCATGAAAAATTTAAGAGTATAAAATATTTAAATTTGAAATGTTTGTGACCATAGACTATTAACGTCGAAATTATGGAAGGCACACAATGACCAATAACTTTGGCCCAAACATTGGAATTTAGATCCCCTACTTGCATTCCGCTGATCTCTCTACATTTTACATCACAGAGAACTTATATCTCAAATATATCCCTGTAGTGTACAGCCAATTGATTGATGGTTAAGGAAGTTTAAATCATATCACTAAACCTTTCAATAGTGATGGCTTGAATAAGGTTGAAGGGAATAGCCAGGTCAGAGGAGATATAGAAAGGAAAATACATCAGATGTTCACCAAAAATCACCACAAGAACAGATGCCATCCTTCAAGTGGTGAAAACGATTTATATCCCGGATAATGATTTCCCGGTTTGCAAACTTTGATGCTAGTTTCATAAAAGTATGGCAATCACCACATATTCTAAGGTTTTTCATAATCCTTATGGGTACATCACAAGGTAAACACATCAATCCAAGGGTAAGAGCAAGCTTCTCACTGTGGTGCCTCAAAAGCACCTGCTTTGTGCCTTCCTCCAGATCATGAAGGTCATAATTAGTTTCAACTTTGTAACCAACCTCCTTTAACTCCTCTATCAAATTATCCAAATATTCATAAATCCTATCTATTTTTGGATGGTTTCTATCACCAGCTGTAAAAGAATGAACCTCATTCTTAATTTCAATCCAACTCTTACCTCTCTCTTTCTTCAAATCACTCTCTCTGAGAAGCTTCCTTGCTCTCGCAACTTCCTCCCACTGTTTATTTGCTGCATATATGTTTGATAGCAAGATGTGGTTCCCAGCATTGTTAGGTTCCATTTCAAATAGGTGCTTGGCTGCAACCTCAGCAAGCTCAATATTGCCACATTTCCTACAAGAGGCCAAAAGTGATCCCCACATAGAAGTAGTTGCATTAAATGGCATTCTCTCCATCAACTCATAAGCCTCATGAACTAGTCCAGCCCGACTGAGAATGTCAACCATGCATGAATAGTGAATGACATTGGGTGAACGATTGTGCTGTCTTACCATAAGGTTAAGATACTTCTGTCCTTCTTCATGCAAACCCATATGACTACAGGAATTTAATACGGATAAGTATGTTACATCATCAGGGCAGAAGCCTATCTGCTGCAATTTCTCAAACAAGATCATGGCCTCTAGTGCACAAGCATGTCTGGCAAACCCTGATATCATTGCATTCCATAATACAATGCTTCTCTTCTCCACACACTGAAACACAAGGTATGCTTCTTTTATGCAGCCACATTTGGCATACATATCTATAAGGGAGCCAACAACATACAAGTTTGAATCAAATCCTGATTTACATGACATAGCATGCACCTGCTTACCTTCGATCAAAGTTGACAGACCTGCACAAGCACTAATAGCAGATGAAACCATAAACTGATCTGGCTCCAAACCCATTAATTGAGAACTATGAAACAGTAGCAAGGCCTCCTCATAGAGCCCATTTAGTACATATCCTGCCACCATAGAACTCCATGTTACAGGACTTCTTTTTGGCATGCTCTGAAATACCTGATTCGCATCTTTTATTGAAGAGCACTTAGCATAAACATCAATTAAAGCAGTTCCAACAAAAACATTTGAATCTATAGAAGCTTTAATGGCAAAAGCATGCAACTGCATGCACTCAACTATAGCACATGTTGTGGAACAAGCACACAGTACACTAGAAATGCTAAACTCATTACGTGAGGTTCCATTTCTTTGCATTTTAATGAAAAGTGTGAGAGCTTCCTGCTCCTCCCCATTTTGGGTAAGAGATCCAATCATTGTATTCCATGAAACTAAGCTTTTCTCTGGCATTTCATTGAACTTTCTGAAAGCATTGTCCACTAAACCACATTTAGAGTACATATTAATGAGCATATTTGATGTTAATATGTCAATTTCAAAGCCAATACGGATAGTCTGAGCATGGCATGAGCTCCCTTCCATCAATGACTGTGTTTTAGCACATAACTGTATAAGATAATGCAAAGTTGAAATACGAGCAACATCTGCATCCACATGAACTTCTTCTTTCACCTTTAAGATCTCGGGCTTGGCCTCAGGGATAACTGATAATTGTCTGGAATGTAATCTGAATCCAAAACTGTCACAGAATCTCTTAAACCTTCCAAAGGATTTCATGTCATTGCATTGATGGTAAAGCAAACCAATATGGTATCAGTTTCCTAACTGATTTAGAAACAACTTGGTTCATTAGCATTGACATCCAATTCCACATGCATATTTTTGTAGCTTGGAGGAGTTGGAGATGATGCATTTAAGCTGAAGCAAGCTAGTCTTCTCCAATTACACAAGTCTTGATTAGTGACTCAGCCAAACTTCAGATTGTAAAATAAATCTAGTTAAAGGTAAGCATATATGATATATCAAAACGATGTATATCTTACACATGTTCAGGTGATTTGCAAGGGAACAAACAAATATTAAAAATCAGCACATCATAAATAAAGAAACAAATTATTTGGGAAAAAATTAACAATAAAAGTACAATAACAAATAACAGAATGAAGCCTATGGCAAAATAAAAAAAAATAAAAAATAATGATGGAGATAAAGGTCATAAAATCTGATCCCTAAAGGTCAATCAATGTTTCCTGTAAATCACAAAGACTTCCAAAAACTGCGAAAGCAATCAATAATTTTTAGGGCAGACGGTGCTCATCGCTTTTTCTGCTAATGCCATATTCATTTCCTTGTAATTGAAAATAGGGAAAAGAAAATTAAAGAATTCAAACTAACATTACCAATGCCTCTCTAGTTGTATAAACTGAAATAGTATAATTTAAAGTAATTCAAGGACCTAATAGAACAGCATAAAAAATAAGGGGGAAAAGGGCTAGTGCTTCTCGATTCTTATGAGCATTATAGTTCTGAATTCTGGTGTGACTCACAAGAAATGCCCAAACCTCAAATTCCGTTTTTTTTTTTTTTCCCTTTCCAAGTTAGGCTCTTCCTTACGTTCGGAAGTCCCCACAAATACTTCAGGTAAAAAGTCATTCTGCATAAACTAAAACTGTTTGCAGAAGCTACAGCTGACTGAACCCTGAAGTATTATCCGTTTAAAATAATAATATTAATATGAACGCAATGTGACATTAACTACAGATCATCCGATACTAAAAAGAGACATTTATCTTCAAATGACAAAAGTAAGAGAAATACTTGTCAAAGTTCACAGCATTAAGTCCATCAATAAGCAATCAAACGAATATGAAGCGATGTCGCATGTACCTCCACCGTCAAAAGAAGATAGAGTTTGATTAGTTTGCCATATGCAGAGTGTTTCACTTTCAGCGAACACCAGAATAGTCCGAACCGGAGACTGCAATTTTGGGATGGTGCAAAAGCGACGGCAATGGGAGATTGTCATGATCCAAATCACCATTTTATCCAATAATTAATGAATGATTAGGTTTCTCAAAACAAAAACAGTTGCTAAATTTATGGAAAATTTGATTTATATTATAACTGAGACAGTTTCTCATGCGTTGTGCTGGTTAAAATTAAAAAATCTAAAATAAATATTATTAATATTATTAATATTAACATATTTGACAGCTAATTAATTTTTCTAAATTCATGAGTATCCTTTTACTATTAGTTGTTTTAATAATTATTTCTTTTTAATTATAAATAAAATTTTAGTTCTCTTTTAACATTTCAATAATTCTAAGTTTTATATTGTTATTTTAATAAAGTTATAAATAAAATGCATGTTTCCCTTACTTAGAACATCTAATTAATCAATCCTAAAAATTTGTAAAGGCCGTATTTAAAATTTAAAATTAAAATATAGGCAGAAAAGAGTTAAATATATTATATTAATATCAATAAATTATTAATATATATTTTTAAAATTTAAAATTAATTGAGTTGGTTTTAAAATTGAGGCAAAACCTAACAAAAATTGAAAATGCAGGAGGAAGGTGGAGAAATTGAATGTTAGAAAAGAAGAATAGAAAGTGAGTTAGTTTTAATAAACATGGTGAAAGGAAATCTTCAAACTCATTGACCACAGATGAGAGATGAAGATTTTGACAATTGAATGAAGAGCAATCTAAAATTAAAATTCGAAAATGATGAATTTAAATAAAACCTTAAATCACTTCTCTATTTCTTTGGTTCATCTTTATCAATGTTGAGAGACATGAAGAATATTGGGAACGAAATCTCTCTCTGTATTGTGGGACTCAAGAACATGGAAGCTATAAATATTTATGCTCCCACGATACATGAGGATGTTCATCAACCAATTAGAGTCAATTTTTTTTTTTGGCCAATCAGGTTGAATATACAAGATTTGTGTACATAAGTTGATTGATTGATTGATTTCTCTTGATTCTTCAATCTGAGTTTTCATGTGGAAGCATATCAACCACATGTTCAAGTGAAAGTTGTGCAAGTAAAATTAAAGAGGCAATTAATATTGACAAGTAAAAGTACAACACATAAACCTTACCATTGGATACAGATGTGGCTTCAAATCAAATTTTGTGATGATTTTAACAGGTCCTACTTTCTTTATGCACCTGTACAATGTATAAAAGACTCTCTTAATTGGCTAATGCAAAATTATTGTGTATATAGCTAATAATTATTGAAAAATTGCCATAGCAACTTCCTAAAATCTTCTAGCCAAGCAGAAGCTTTAGTTGTAGAAGAAGACAATTGGAAAATTGTTATAGCAACTTCTTGCAAGATATCTTCATGTTTAAGTTTGAGATAACATGTGCTGAACATCAATGGAAGAAAACACAAATCAAGTCAAATGTGCGCATACCCATAAATCAATCAGTAGTTGGAGTATGTATCAAAATGTCTCGTTCAGGTTGCCTTATTCTGGAGATCTTCCAAGAGATTCCAAAATAGTTCAGTAGTAAACTTACAAATCCTTTGACTCTTCCTTTAGGGTAAGGTGGTCCTAAATTCCCATTGAAATAGAACAGTGTCTTTCGCATCTCACGGGGCCTGAGAACAAATCATAACATGTCTGCACTATTAGTCATGAACTGGAAATTTTGTAGAGACAACAAATTTGAGGTAATGATTAGTTCCTTAAAAAAAAAAAATTTGCAGATAGATACATATTGGCAAAAATAGACAACAACTGAAAAAATATATATCCAGACTCAAGTGAGTGGCATCATCAGTAGGAGTTATGATATACGAATCAAGAACTTGAACAAAGAAAAAAAAAAAAATCTACTTCTTCACCATTCAAAGTTCTATGAGGACTGGCTAAGATACTCTCATAAAGTGCATTATGTGGATAATCAACATCAGATTCAGATGATATATTTGCAAAACATTATAATCATAAAATCACTAACTAAAATGCTTTCAACACATGATCTAGAGTTATGAATTATCTAGCACCATACAATTGATATCTCCATATTGAAGCATTAGAATAGTCATAAATCCTATTTACACATTCGAACTTAAATGGTGTCCCAATAAATAAATAAAGATTATAAAACCATCTTGGTCTTGGGATGTAAAAAAGACCCAAAATCCATTAATTGAAAAAAAAAAATCCATTACCAAAACTACAACTTGGGACTGGAACAATATAAGTTTTAAAACTTGCTTCACCCAAAATCCCCGTTCATCTCCTTCTTCATGTTGCCTTCAAATTCTACACGAACACAATCACGAAATTTGAAAAATAAGAAACTCAACCATTATTCAAGAGAAAATGTACTTTGTAAAACCCTAATTTTAAATATAGTTAATTAATATTTGATTGATATATATAAATTAAAACTAAAACTTTAATCTTGAAGTGAGAGAGAGCCACAAAACTTTTCTTTCCATTTCATGAATATTATGAAATATAAGAAGAAAAAGTCCCATAAAATATTACATACACATTCACTAAATTTCATAAAAATTTTACCGCTACTTTCATCAAATAAGTGAACTTTTGATGTAACTATCCTTGTATGATATATACATGATCCAACAAATTTGGAATCCAAGCATGACTTGTATTACCCCTGACAAGCTATGTTATTGACGATGTAATGGATAATTGACATCTGGACACGTTACGACAAAAAAAACAAAGTGAGAATTGTAAAATTTCTTAGTAAGATATATTAAGTTTGAGCTAATAATGACCTAGCCGCCTCGTGTGCGAAAGGCAATTTTCTCACTATTATCTATACTGAAATTCACATAAAAATATACAAGTAGTTATAATAGGCATTTATAAAAAATTAATAAAAGATCTTACAATATTTTGGTAAATCAAACTATCTTTCCTTGATATATCATATGTGATTATGTAGTTGCATTTTTTTTTTTTTGGTTTCTAACATGTTTTTCTCTCAATTTCTATCATCTCTTTTTGTCCATTCTCATACATTTTCTCTACATTATATCTCTTAGTAGAATCTCTCTTGCCATCTTCTTCTTGTGCTCTCTCTCCTTCTCCATCGTCTAATCTCTCTCTCACATTCTTTCTCTCCACCTCTCTCTCTTGCCTCCCATTCCTTTTTATTTGTTTGCTTACACTGCAAGAGTGAGGGGTCTATATAATGTTGTTGGCTTAAGAAAGGGGTTAAGAATTCTTAAGGGATAAGTCATCATAGGTGGCATTCTTATTAAAATTCATTTAATTGGATTTGGCTCCTCCCAAAAAAAACTACTATTATGTCACATGTGTCAAATAATGTCTTTCTCTTGAAGAAAAGCTCCTCTTTATGACTATTTATACAAATTTATTTATAGCTATTATTATTATTGTTATTAATTGAAACTTACTTATTACTCTTGATTACTAAGAACTGCATAAAACATATTTTAGAATTATTAATTTTATTGAAATATTCTATTATCCAATCCTCTTTAAATAAATATATCCATTTAACTTCAAACAAGGCATAAAAGATGCATAATATTATCACAAAATTTATAAGTATATGAGAGATGCATAATTTAAAATAATAAGTTAATTACTAAAAATTTAAATTTTAAACTTATAATTTATTTATACAATTATATGTATTATTTTGATTATTTTAAATATTTCTTTATGTTACATACTTTAACCCGTATCCCAATATTTACTTGCAAGACTGACCAATATGGTAATTTAATTTAGACGTACTTAAATCAAATTCATGGGAACAATTGGCGCGAATGGTCTCTGGACTGAAAGAAAACAAAATGTGGTAGTTGCATCGGGAAGAAGAGTTGACAAATGCCACAAACGGGGAGGGCTGCATGTGGTTAATGCTTTGGAAAACGGACAAAATATAATGATAATGGAAGATTATAACTAAATGAGCATAATAAATTAAATCTGCCAATGACAGTGGGATATTATCATATAACCAAGTCCATTGCCCAATTAGATTTTTTTTTTTTTGCCCAAAAATGATGCTTCTACGAGATTTGCAGCGATATATCGATATTATATCATAGATATTCATAACTTATACTCCTTTCATTAAAAAAATATAAAGCATTTTTAATTGAATCTCACCTCTCAATAAAGTAATTACCTACTTTTCAACTAACTCTATCTTTTAATATTTATCTCTATTAAATACTTTATAATAAATATAAAGTCATTATCAATAGAGGCACTTTTAAAAAAAATAATAATTATACATTGAAAGACTAAAAATATTTGATATTTTTTAACATCCAATTTCTTATTCACAACAGAGGGAGGGAGTATATCAATGGACATTTTTTAAGGGAGGGAGTATATCTTGTTATGAAAATAAAGGAAATATAAGAGATTAAGATGAGAGAAATGAACAAGACAAGAAAGAATTAGAGGGGGAAATAAGGAGTGATTCTCATTTACAACAAGCTTACAGTTACTTGGTTATAGGTCACAAATCCTTAAATTCTATTATAAGAGTTACATACAAAGAATTAATATACATAAATGTAGAATATATAACATATCTATTAATCATGAAAAACTCCCAAGAGGCTATTCATGTGGTAAGTTATCTATCTTTAATTAGAGAATGCCAATGGACAACTTGGAAGGTTATAGGCATCCGCAATTATATTACAATATTTATAACACTCCCCCTTAAATATCTATAAACAAATATGGTACCTCATTAAAACCTTGCTAGGAAAATACAATGGGACAAAAACATAGTGAAGGAAAAAGAGTACACAATACATAATAAAGCCGCCTCGTTAAAAATCTTACTAAGAAAACTCAATGTGATAAAATCTTGATTAAGAAAAAAAGAGTGCATCATGTACTTTGCTCCCCTAATAATGATATCAATTTTAATCTCCTTAGTAATAATGTCACTTGTTGTTATTGTATCTCAATAGATAATACTAATTTCTCAAATGTGAACATGATGCATG